GGCAACCACGAGCGCCGCCCTCCCCCTTGTTCACTTACGTGATAAGTGCGCGCGCAGATGACTCCGGCCGGAAAGGCAATGTTGGCTCCGAAGAAAGAGGATATATAGCGCATCTTTTTCCGTATAAAAATACATACATATACATTTATGTGAATGATGGTGGTTCCAGCGATGGCGCCAACGACGGCAAAAAACAGCGGAAACTGTCCTTATAATTGCTATGGCTCTATATTTCTGTTCGTCTCTTCGCCAAGACACTGGCACCAGTGCCGTGCTGCATATTCTAACACAGGTGATGTAACGACCAATCGTAATGTGGACAAGTTCTTGTAAATACAGCGGGGAACGCAAACGCACAAAGTATTCAATTAGGTTATCAACACACGCTTAGTTAGGTTTCTTGCGAAAAGAAAAGCAGTATCCTACTAGCAGTATGAATTTCAGGCGAGGAAATCAGCAGAACGGACCTCGCTGCGCGTGAAGGATGAAAGAATAAACAACATAGAAGGTAAACGTTTGACAGTGGGACTGTTCTTGGGCTGAAAAAGGGCATGTTCTTTGATTTTATATAATAACCTTTTCCTTAAATTACCGTTTTATAGAAGGCACCCCTTTAAATTTGACCAAGAGCTAATTGTCATCAGCAGTACAATGCGCTAGTGAGAATGGTGTGTCATCTAGCTACATGTATATACCCAAAGGCGTAATGCAGGGCTTAAATTTGGGGCCACTGCTCTTTCTCTTATATATTAATGGTATAGTCAACATTTCTTGTACTCTTTCAATGGTATTGCTTGCTAATGGTATAAATATTTTGTTCTCTGGGTTCGATAGAAAAATAGTTGCGAGCGACGCAAACACGTGGCTCTGTAGACTGTGCAAATGGTCGACAAGACATTCAATAGGGCTCAGTGTACTGAAGACAAAGCTTATATTATTCAGGCTGGAAAAGAAGACTATTGACAATGAAGTCGTTATTTATTACTTTTCGCAATAGTGCTCTATCGCGCATGGACTCCATTCGATTTAAGGTGTAATCAATATAGCAAGGCTAACTTGGGCAGATCAATCGCGTTAATTATATGTGTTCTAAATAACTCAAGTTCTATGGGTATTATCCAGAAAATGAAAAATTTGTTGCCATTATGTTTTAAGAAGCGAATGTACTACGCTTAGTGCAATCATAGGTTCATAAATGCCTATTGGTTTGTGGAAGCACTATGCGGTTTAATTTGCAATCCCTATTTGTTTAACAAAAAAAGCCATTTGTGTGAGCAGTAATACGAATTATCGAGACAGTAGAAATGAATACTGGAGCGAACTGGGTATACTAAACATACAAGACTTGAAAATCTTGTAGTTGGCTCTTGAGACACACCACCTGAGAACGACACTAGCTTTTCACTCACTCTACACAAACCTCAAAAACATCCGTCTTATACATTTCCCCATGTGAGCTGCAGGAAGAACAGAACACAGACAAACTATGATTCGTAAACGTTGCGCTACCAGATAACGGCACTATTGAATAACAACAAAGGTGTAGAAGCAATAATAAGAAATCGAAAATCAGGAAAAATGATGAAGCGTCAGGTGAGTCAACTGCTTTTTTTCTAGCTTAATTTATTGTGTTTCATTCAGTGCATATTGCCCTATATTGTGTTCTATGTTTTTTCGCTCAACAATGATAAGTTTTAATACATATTTACCGGTAAATTTTATTTATATTTCCATATTTATCTAAAGTTGTACATCAACTACTTCCAATATGTAACATTTTCAGGGGCTACGTTTTTGTTGTCATTGCCTACGTACACACTTTTGTTGTTTCAAATAGGAGGACCCTGTCAGGAGCAAATGCCTTTAGTCCTCTCTTTCCGAAGTGTAATTTTTCTGCATTTGAGTGAAATCAATTCAATTCTACCGTGATAGGCATTGTACCTCACAATAAAGGACCGCTAATCGAAGGACACTGCGCTCCGCAGATAAATGGCTGATTCACTTCGCTTCTGAAATGTGAGTGGCACGCTCAGTGACAGGCGCGGAGATGGGATTTTTATGGGAGCAGCGCAGTGGCGTAGCCATAGGGCAGCCCAGTGAGTCTGTGACACCCCCCCCCCCCCTCCCTTTTCCACATGTCTTCTCTATGCGCAATTTTAGGACCCTGTCATCAAACACCAGCATCATTCCTTTGTGACACCACTAACAGGAAAGTTCCGCTGCCGTCATGTGAAAGGCAAAATATGCCTCTGCAGTTTCGCAATGGTCAGCCGGTTCAACTATTTTGCCGTCTAGCACCACAGTTGAATGAAGAATTTTCTTGCAAATAGACGTAGCATATATGTTATAGCACTGGGCTCTGTCTTTTATGCGTTATTCATGTGAACACGGGCACTTTTACCTTGTAGATCATGTCTTTTTTCGACGCGTGTATATAAGCTTGTGGGCACTGCTCTATACGCAGATAAAGAGCTCGCTGAAATCACGGTGTGGTACGCTAAAACAATTTGTATTGGAGAGAAATGTAGGCGTAGGTGGCGTCGAAAACATAACAGAATCGATTTCGTGCAAGCAATATGTGTTCGCTAAAAGGAATATCCCTTGGCTTTAGGTGTCCATGACTTTCCCACTTGCCAGCGCTCATGTTCGCTCTTTGAAACATTTTTCACGAATTTCCCTTCAAAAACAAACATGCACATAACAAGAAAACAAGGCCATCTGAGCCTTTCATAAACATCCCACATGACCGAACTGGAGCATGACCGAATTGGTTGGCAGCGGTCTGTTCCTCGCTTGTCTAGGCACACGTGCGTTCATGCGGTGACGCACAAAGCACCACGATACGCACAACGAAACCTCAGAGGGCCGCAGAAGAGGCTAGCACACTCGCTCTTCTAACTGTTCATTGCGAAGAGGTGTAACAGTGGCTCGAAAGCCACTGCCAGAGACTTCTAAAAGAGCCACGAATCAACAAAGGCTGCCAAGATCTTGAACAGCTCATGCGACTCGGCACTCCACCTTCATGCGACTCGACAACATGAGCGGCTTCATGTGACTCGATTCTGCGCCTCGAAAAGCTAGCAATCCCTGCCATAAGACAAAGCAAAGATGTCAAGTGAAACTTTGGAAGGGAAATAAAGTGCCGTTTCGAATCCTAGACTGTACTCACAGAAAAGCTATCAGTTGGAAACATTTTGAAACAATTTGAAAAGTGACTCCTTGGACATTTGGAGGCTGTTCTCAATTCACAGTTGCAATAATAACGTTTTCTGTCGTGCTAGTTGGCACATGGCTCAGAATTGGTGGTGTAAATTCAGGCCAGTAGTGAAGAAGACACTAAAAATGTCAAAAAGCGCGTGCTCGCAACTAAACTTTACTCTTCCGAAAGCTTCGGTCAAGAACCCGCAAGCATGCGCACTACAGCAAACAAAGCAAAGTAACAATCTAAAAACACCGCTTGATCAAAACCTACGATCCAAAAAACTATTCTCAGTTTGATGAAAATTAATATAAGGGACGCTGACAAAATGGTCGCCAGCTTTCTGCATTGTGTATAGGCTCAGCCAATTGCCGTCACCACCTTGTCTTCGCTCTTCCGCAAAATGAAAGTGCTGCCCAGCAGTGGTTCACCCGTGCAACCCTCGCAGTGATGTGGCAAATGAAATCCGGTCCCATTCCTTAAGCGAAGCTTTCGGGAAAATGAAATTTACTCGCAAGTGTCTGCTTTTCTACGTATTGAGTGTCTTCTTCGCTTCTGTCTAACATTTGCACCATCAATTCAAGTTCATCACAGTTTCAACTCGATATAAGAAAACAATGAGGACGCTCGGATTGCTTAGAATAATGAGGAAGCTCGCAAACTCTATAAAGAAATGTTTCGCCTCTTCGGAATACAGAAATGTACCTTATTGACAGCCAAAAGCTACCAGAGCAATCGTTTTGCCCCGAATCCACTCATACGCTTGTGAAAAGTTCATGAGGGCTGCCCGAGTGGGGCTCTGACGTAGAGCCTCCTATGTCGCCCGGACAGAGGGGGCACTATGCTGCTGTGACGCAAGTCACGTAGACGGTTGGTTGCAGCAATGACGATATACGCGGCCTCGCTGAGAGGGAATACAGTGTTCGTGAGAGAAGGCTGAGGCAGAAAGTTGCAAAGAGACGTTAAGTGCTATGAGATCACGAAACCAAACACAATTTTACTTAGCACCATCCGCTGAGTAAAAGCACTGCCGACTGCCTAGTACACTGTCCCGTGTATTTGCGTAGTGTGCAGCCTCGTCAAATGAAAGCTAGAGTCGTGGGTAGAGCACCCAGACCTTTTATTTATTACAGCGTACGCTCGAAGAAATACCCGCCTCTGCGAAATGACAGGAACATCACTGCTTTTTCTTTTCAGTTTTTTTTCTGAAATAAAAAAAAACCTAAATGAATCGGGTTCGGTGCTGGGCCAGGCTAGTTCAATAATTCGGTTTGATTATATCCTAAGGACTTTGAAGATTTGCTGAGGAATTCATTTTTCTTTGTATTACATAGAACACTTGATACCATTGAGTTTTGTCGGATATAGATTTACCTGTATATCTTATTTGCCATCGTCATGTGGCTTATCAGTGCTTACGAAATGAATACATTTCGTAAGCACTGATCTCGGCTCGTCAGTGCTCCCATTAGCTTATATAAAATGGAGAATGATGTGCACGTAGGGTTGGCCGAATTGCACGGCATTTCGTCGAAGCTGCCTACGCTGTTCACGCGACATGAAGACGAAGCCTTGAATATGCTTGAAAATTGTGGAAGGTGTGACCTACCAATCATTCGGAAACTATTATTTTGAAAACATACACTACATTTTCACACAAACAGCTACCCGATGCTTGGCTTGGGAAGGCAGCGAGATTCCGTGCTGTCGAAAATCCTAACATACGTATAATTGCGCCAAGTGTATGCGTTTACTGGACGTACAGTTGAACCGTGTCTTGGAGGATGCAGTTACTACTCACTTCCCGAGTATGTCATTATGGTGAACACGCTTCCTGGCCAGGAGGCGGAAGTGTAGTCAGTGGCAAATGTGTCCATGATGGCGACAAAGTAGAAGCCCGAGTTTATCTGCGTCGCCATATTAAAAAATGACGCGATGGCTGCTGCAGCCGCAATGCCCCAGTTTTGATCGATGCCCTTGGGTGGGACGCGCCGCGAGAGCCGCCTCTCGAAGCTGGACTTTCGTTGGTCGGTTCCGGAGGACACCTCGAAAGCAGCGCTTGACCTGCAGCAACAACATTGCAAACTTTATTCTTTTTGTTTGCACAAAACACGTATTAGTTCCTTGAGCGAGAAATTGGCACATCGTATTTTATATGAACTGCTCGTAAGCGAACACTGGGACGAAAAAAAACACATACGTACAAAAGCTCTTCTCAATCTCCCTTATCGGGGGAGATTCTCGAAGCCCCGCTGTGGTGGTCTAGTGGCTAAGGTACTCGGCTGCTGACCCGCAAGTCGCGGGATCGAATCCCGGCTATGGCGGCTGCATTTCCGATGGAGGCGGAAATGTTGTAGGCCCGTGTGCTCAGATTTGGGTGCACGTTAAAGAACCCCAGGTGGTCGAAATTTCCAGAGCCCTCCACTACGGCGTCTCTCATAATCATATGGTGGTTTTTCGACGTTAAACCCCACATATCAATCAATCGATCGGGGAGTTTCTCGAACTCATGAAACACACAAAGTAAGCAGTCGATTTACCATGGCACACGTAATATTATTATGCCAGCTGCCTAAATATATCTATCGTTTCAAAGAAGGACGTACTCTAAAAGTAAATTGGTAATATTCAATAGAATATTACGCCTTGATTCACCGTCAGATATGCTACAGATGACCGAATTAGAGCCACTATTTGAATAAAGAGAACAGGCATGCTTGAATTTCTTATCGTAGGTTAATTTTTATAAGCTTGGAAATAACTCGGACGATTACTTTCTGAAACACATCGATCTAGCCTCACGTGACAAGCAAAACCATTGCATCAAACCTGTATTCGCAAAAACTAATTTATTTAAATATTAAATGTTCCCTCGAACAATTACCGAGTGGAATTCATTATAATCTTCTTCAGCTTTGGTACGCAGAAAGTTTTGAACTTTTTGTTTTTGTGTCGCTTTATGTCCCTCCTTTCCTGCTTGGACTACTGTCTGCAGTATTGTACAAAATAAAAAAATAAAAATATGATGTCTATGAAAACCTTTATGCAGTGAAATGTAAAAATGCTCTATAGTATCTGAAGAGAACCATGGTTTTCGTTAGGCAGCGTGCCACTGGAAGTTACGAAAAAAGCATGTAAAGGCTGGTAGTGATCGCAGATCCGTACCATGACAGTGAACAAGCTAGAAAAATACGAATCGGGGGCGGAACCACTTATGGCAGGCATAATTAGAATATGAATGATAGTTACGGTATTTTTTAAGAGAAAAGCGCACTGTAAAAGCCCTGGATGCCCGTTGCTGCTTACCTACGGCGCCGGAATTTGCTGGAAGGAAAGCGTTGTACTGAAAGTGAGGATGACGCAGGGAAGTATAGAAATGAGAACGATAGGAAAATATAGCACAATAGGACATCTGAGTGGCTCAGAGAACAGACGCGTGTTAAGGACATCACAGCCAAAATATGGACTAAAATGGGCAGGGCATGTAGCACGCAGGTACGAAAGCAGATTCTTGTTAAGGGCAGCAAGCTGGATTCTAATGAAGGCCAAGCGCGCGAGGAGGAGGCATAGAGTCTGGTTGGCAGATGCGATTACAAAAAAACAGTGGTAACATAGCCGCAGCAAGGACAGGACACGTCAATTGTGCAAATATGGAAGAGGCCTCTGCGCAGAAGAGTCAGCATAATGACGATTATACCGACGATGAATCAAGTGTTTTCGTCACGGTCGTCGGTACAGCGCGAGACTCGTGTAGGTAATAAGACGAATATCAGCTAGCAACTGAAATAACATTATTATTTTCACAAACAATGCAGAAAGGGGAAGATGGCAGGATGCGATGAAAAATTCGTAAACAGGTGGCCGACCATTCGGCACGCGGACTTGTTTTATTGAAGGTTTCAACTTTCAATACAAGACCCCAGTTGAAACATCGGCTCTTGAACGCCCCCTCTCCCCAATGCTTGCAATTTTCTTTTATGTGGGAAAAATCATAGGATATAGACTAGTCCGTTTTCTCTCTATGTGCCCGTCACGGTACATAACGTGCAAGGTACCCATTAAAACCGTAACATTCATGATGTAGGGAGGCACCCCCTTCCCTACGCCACTGTCCCATTTGTCGTTCTGCTGATGAGCGAAGTACCCGCTACACATCAGTAGGCTGGTCTAGTGGGTTACGGAACTTGACTGCCCTACTGCAGGTTACAGGATGGAATCCCAGCCACGGCTGCCGCATTTTAGATGGATACAAAAAATGTTGTAAGGCGGTTTACTTAGACTTGGACGTATGTTAGAAAACACCAGGTTGCCGACTGGTCCGGAGTTTTCCACTAAAGCCTGTCTAACAACAATATCGCGTTTTGGGACGTAAAAGCCTAACAGCTATCATGAGCATGCAAGCCCCGCGCTAATACAAGTTTTCTTCTTCGCGATTTCTCCTTTATAAATCCCATAGAAATACCATTACTAAAATCAGATGCTTGAATTGAATATACCTGCTTCTACATCTGACTATTGTTTGATTTAGGAAAAAGTGAGCGAGATTGAAAGATGTAGGAGGTCCTGGCTATGTTCACGGGAAAATTTTTGTATTGATGTGACGCCCAGTTATGACTACGAAGCGCTGGGTAGGCATGCGATGAAATTGTGTAAAATTGCGTAAATTATATCGTCATTACAATATTCACGAGTAACACGCCCTATGAAAGCACCGTCTACAAGCAGAACAGGTGGTGAAGCAGCGCACAGGTGGTACGCCCGCTACAGCACATCGCAACCTTGAGTTTAAGCAGAACACTGCACTCCGACAGGGTTGTTTAACCATGACCGAATAAATCACACTGGTGTTTTTTTGCGCCTCGAAACCTTCGGCTGTAGCAGATTAGCATACTAGCACACCGCATTCTAACCTTGACCAAACAAGGGTCTCTTACATGTTCTCCAAGCAGTATTTATGGCCATTTCATGCAGTATACAAAAATTGTGTCGAAACGAAGTGCACGTTTGGTTTATAGTTGTATGCCCCAGTAAACGTTCGCTTGAACTTCTGGGTAGAGCAAAACCTGGCTATACTTTGCAGAGTCAGAAGAGTACGTATACAATGATTTTGTTTTACATTTTATGATATTTAAAAGAAAACATAATTAACACACATTTGCCCTTGGCAAGGTAAAAATTTGTCCGATTAAAATCGACCATCCAGCTCCTTCTAGTCTATAGTTCTTAGTATTAAAATTGAAAACTGGCCTTAGGTTTCGAGACTCTTTCAGCTTCCTTTTAAAAGGGTGACGGTTCGGCCAACTTTGAAGCTACCGACTTTTATTTCTACATTTATTCACTTCATAATTAAAGAATAGAGATAATAATGGCTGGACAGTTTCTCCTGTTTGTATATATTTTTTATAATAGCACTGTAACCATACTCAACCCCGCCACAATATGATCACCATATGGGGCCCCAAGCACTTTCAAACTCAAGTGTAGCTATTCATGTTAGCAGAGACTTATGCATGATAGTTTCACTACCATGTATAAGCCTAGCTTTGAGTCCTACTCTAATCTTGATTATTATGATCTGCATTCACCAGCATATTTCACGTACCGATGACGCGGCTAATGCTGACAGTGGTTTTTTTTTAGCCCACTCCGCGTAAAGCTGTTTTGTCAATATCTCCAATGTGTATTCTCGCCGTTCCTGGGTTGACCGTGGCACATACGTGCATTGCAGGGACAATTGTTCTCAGCTACGTGCATGCTCAGCATCAACACTTGAGTAAAATAATGTTTCCTAGCGCTCTATCCCAACACGTGAGTGGTAGAAATGCTTTTACGACGCATACAAGAGTGAAATGATGTTACTCTTAGCATGACCTTCCAATTGTGTTCGTCGTATATTCACTGATTGCTTTGCCAATTTTACCACGCTAAAATGACAACCACGAGACCACCAAGGTGGAGGTTGTTAGATAGATAGACAGACAGACAGATAGATAGATAGATAGATAGATAGATAGATAGATTGATAGATAGATAGATAGATAGATAGACAGACAGATAGATAGATAGATAGATGGATAGATAGATAATGAGATAGATAGATAGATAGATAGATAGATAGATAGATAGATAGATAGATAGATAGATATGCTCAAAGTCACCAAAGTTCGCTAAAGAATGCTTCGCATTTAAAAGCATCGTTTACCCTGAGCTCAGAGTCGAGGAAGTTGCAATAAAGACAGGGTCCGAAAGGCATTTCCACTTTTTGCTTTCCTTGGGGCACACTGTAGGTCGTTCCGCTTTGGTTGAGCAGTGGCTATGATGCCGGCTGCAGACCTGGCGGTCGGGGGCTCGATACTTGCCATGGCAGTCACATTTCGAAATAGTAGGTAAACGTGTAGTGTGCGATGTCAGTAAGCGTTCAAGAACACCAGATGACCAAAATTTCCAGAGCTCTCTACTACGGTGTCTCTCGTGACTATATCTTGCTTTTGGGACTTAGCACCTCATATATCATTATTATTTTATGTCTCCGCCAAGAAACTAAGTCAGGCTAGCCATAGGGAAGGCGATATTTTGTGTTTGTGCCTGCGCCTGTGTAGATGTTGCCATTAATTTACATTCTGCAAGGTGAAGCTTGAGGGTCTCTTGTCTTTTAGGATGGCGTCTTTGGGATGTTTTTGGGTTATATTACACGAATCACTTCACTTGAAAAAAATTACCGCTAGTGCGCATGAACTTCGTTGTATTTTCAGCTAAACTACAGGTGGCTTACGTCATGACCACACCATGCTCGTACGCCTACATAGCCTACGGCGAACCACTACGGTTCCTAATAATGCAGATATTGAAATCAAACCTGTACCTAAATATTTTTGTCAATCTGTGTCCATTATTCTTGAAATGCTTATAGACTGTGTATAGACTGCCTAGAGTGCGTTTTCAGAATGAAAACATTGTTACGCATCCAAAGGTTTATCATCTAGTCAGCCAACAGCTGATGGGTGATCAGAGCACTACAGGATTGTACAGTATCTCTGTTCGTAATAAGAATGTAATGAGCACTA